GGCCGCAGATGATGACCCGTCTATCCGCGGCACAGCTTCCTCACCAACCCCCTTCCAGCTCGAGGAAACCATCAAACCCTGCCTGCCCTGCCCTCCCAGGCTGCCGAAGCAGTTCCAATTAGTGTCAATTGGGATAATGACTCCATTTGCATTTTTAAGCTATTATTAGCAAGTTGTCAGTCAGCCAGTAATTTGTATCACTTTGGTATAATGAGTATTTAAATATTTAAAAAGAGAACGTTCCTTTCTACCACCCCCTTCCTTTTTGTGCTAAAATAATAATGGTTTTAATCAAAAGTAATTTGTATTAATATACATTTTGCCCCAGGTGTTAAGAGCAGTCTTCAAGAGCAGTGGTGAGAGATGTTAAGTAATGCAGTTTATTAACACAGACGACTACTTCTACCCTCAACAGCAGCAGAAAGGGAGGCTGCTTTTGCAACCAGGTCGTTCTGACTCCTCCTGGCCTCTGCTAGGTGATTACGTGTAGGAACTGAGGTCAGTTCCAATAATTTCATGTACCTGGGATTATAATTCTCTAAAGGACAATTTTGGACCCAATTACTCTGTCTTCTCCTTCGTGAAAATTCCTCATTTAAGCCACCAAAAAAAAAAACCCAATAAAAAAAAAGGGAAGAAGGCAGAAGACTCTGCAGAGCGAGCCGGGAGCAGGGCAGAGGCTGTGATCAGGCAGCCAGCTACACGTTGCCACTATATTTATATTCTTTCCCGACAGGGTTTGAGCCCAGATGCTCAGGGATGTGCAGTTTGCTGCTGTTCCTCATCACACAGAGCTCCTGGCCATTTAAACAAAGAGCAAATCTTTCCAAATTTATCTGATGCAGCACATTTTATAATGCATATATGTATTTTTTTAAAAAAAAAAAATAATTCTTTTGAGAAAAAAGCAGAGGTGTGGCCCTAAGCCTTTCTGATGCGCATCTGTGAAACTTCCTAAGCAGGACTCAGAGTGTTCTCTCTGTATGAATAACTGAAATCCTGCGATCTACATGTTAATTATGACAAAAAAGAGGGAAAAACCGAACAGTTTCAGCGGTAAAATTAACATTCCTCATTCCCCGGCCTGTATTAACTTCCACCTTCCCTCAAACTGGCATTTTGCGCCCGTTCCAACTCATATTTCTACTTTTTAATAACATACCTGGTTCTCCATTACTTTCAAATCGAATATGGAATGCCTTCAATAGTAATGCACTGAGCTCTTAGCTGCCTTCTCACCTGCAGCGCCAGCACGAGCAGCTCTGCGCAACGGCTGGCGAGCAAGATCAATCAAACCACCTTTCTCTGTTCTCCTTGGCATTACCCCTACGGCAATCAAGTGCTTCTGGCGTTCCCTTCCACGAAGCCCACGCACAAATCCCACGGACGAGGGTGTGTGAGGGAACAGGCTGCGAGCAGGACGGAGCGCTCGCTTGCGCGGACACGCTGCCAGTGGCTGCCATCTGCCGGCTAGAAAAAAAAAGAATAAAATTGATAAATCAGCCCTCGAAAAGGCCTCGTGAGCCAAATCCAACCTCCAACGAGCTCTTTCTGGCGTGGAGGAGAGGTGTCAGCCTGAGGGCTTCCTCGGACACAGCGCAGGGGGCAAGGCCGGGGGGCTGCAGAGCAGGGCCAGCCCCGACCCGCTGGGTGGCAGGAGGACGAGCAGAATCGTAGAACCATTTAGGTGGGAGAAGACCTTTATAGTCATCAAGTCCAACCACTTGGCAGACTCGAGGGTACTGCTGACGTATTTCGTTGTAGCTCACAAGGCACCGGGAAGGTCCAAACCGGAGTGTACGGTGCAAGAACCAGTGGCCCAGCTTGTTTTCTCTTACTGGGAGAGTTTCCAGGCCACTAAAAGGTGGAAAGCGGCACTGCAGAGGGGCTGGGTGAAGATACCACGAACAGATGTCGGCAAGCAGCGTGGGCAAACCTCCCCCAGCTCCCACCCCTACCAACGTGCAAGATACCGCAGCAGCATCGAGCACTTCTGCTTCGTCCTCCTCCGTCCCTTCCCTCCTGCCGCAAGCTTTGTAAATAAATAAATAAATAAAATCAAACTTACTAAGTTAAGTTTAAATTAATTAAATGAAACCTGCTAAATTTCAATAAATAAAAACAACGTGCATGACCTGCACGGAAAGGCAGGCTCGTTCAAAGCTTTCTAAGACTTTCCTAACCGCAGCCTTTGTGTCAACCCCCACGTCTGTGGAAATATGGAAATAAAAGCCAAGGGGCTCCGACACCCCACGGTGAGGACCTGGCGTGGTGCAGGTGCTCTGGCCGGCCCTAGGAAAGCAGCTGAAACCAGCGGCCTCTCCTGCCCTTCTCCTGCTGTGCTGACCTCGTGTTCAATCCTCCTTCGACAACTTCTCTCTCTTATTTATTAACAGACATCAGACACGAGGTCTGTGTCAGAGCAAAAGACTAACTCCCCTCCTCCGGAGGTGGGCCTCCACAAAGAGACCCTCTACGTTCTCTTAGGCAAAATCGTCTGCTTTTCCACTTCACTGTGATTTTTCAAACATTTTTACATCATTTCAGACCATCCCACAGAGAAACCTCTGCCCAAGGGTCCCCAAAATCCTGTCAAGTGTTCCCTGGTTCTTACATGCTGGTTTGTACTGGGGAGCTTCTCAGGAGAGCCACTGTCAGGGACGCTTGGGGGTGGACACCACCAGGGGAGCTCCACACAAGCCCATCACCTGGCAGATGGCTCCATGAGACGAAGCCACGGGTGTCACCGAGCAACCTCCAGCGACTGGTAGGTCCCGCTCGGGGCAGGGCTCTCTTTGGAAGATACAGGTTAGTTCTCCTTCCTCAAAAGAGGGAGATATCGCAGGGAAAACATCGTTTAATCTAATCAATCTAAAGGAAAAAAAATCAAACTGATCAAAAAAAACCCCCAAGCCAACCCCCACTATTTTATCCGCTTTGCGAGAACCCCACAGGTTCTCCCCCAGCCCTGCCAGGCAAGGAGCTGCCCATCTCCTCCCTCCCAGGCGCCACTGACTTTAATTCCCCATCCCCACCTCTGACCCGCTACTCAAACCAACCTACTCCAGCTG